AGCAGATGTCTGTTAAATAGAGACAAGGACATGTTATAAACCATCAGTCCAGTCCACATTTATTTCAGGGTTACATATCCCAGGTCCTGCTTACCTAACAATACATACACCCTCTTAGTCTTCAGCATTCGTGTCTGAAAGGCACACATGCTACATGCCATTGCTATTCCTGCAGTCAGGTATGGAGCAGTCTAGTGCCCACCCCACCCACTGCCCCTCCCCCTGCTCCCCCCACGGATTACACCTTTAGACTTTCAGTGTGGCCTCCATGTGAATCTCCCCCAACTGGTTCAGATGGGGTGCTAAGTGCTGCCCCCAGAGTCTGAAATCTACAATCGGTGTTAGGTTTCATTTCACCACTAGTTTTAGGGATTTGTAGTATTCCATTGTGTGTATTTTGTCTATTGATGGACATTTAGGCTGTTTCCTTTTTTTTTTTTTTTTGCTATTGTGAACTGTGCAGCGACGAACATTGGGGAGCAGATATCTGGTCAGGGTCTGTTTCGTATTTCTTCTGCATATATGCCCAAGAGTGGAATTGCTGGGCCATATGGTAACTGGATTTCAATCTCCTTTAGGTATTGCCAACTCGATTTCCACAGTGGCTGCACTTTTCTTTTGTTAGTCACAGATCACACTTTTTATTTTTTTGAGTTCCTCCTCTACCCAGTTCCCTTCCCTGGATTTGCTAATAGCCTTGTGATTATTTAGGGCAAGCTCTCCCTTGTTTCAGCTCTTGAACACATAAAAAAAAAAAAGAAGAAGAAGAAGAAAAAGAATGTAATTTTCCTTTTCTCCCTCAGCTCCATCTACCAGCCAACACAGGCAAACTAACTCTGAGCATGCTGGGAAAAGACCATCAGGTGGCTCTTTGGTGTGGGAGCTTTTCCAAGAGCTTCTTCCTCAGGAAAGACCATAGCAGACTCTGTGTGGCCTTAGCCACATGTGTTTGTTGGAGCAGTTATGAAGCTCTTGCACTTTGTTTTTCTGCTTCTATTGTTAGAGTACCAGGTCACTTTGAGGTCTGCATGCTGAGGAATAGTCTGTCATGTCCAAGTTGACTAAGAAAAAGACTTCTTTAAAAAAAGAAAGAATTTCTGATCATTCAGTTTTTAATAGGCAGAGTAAAACAATAAGAAACAAATTGAAATTTAGAATGAATTATATATGTTGCTTCTTGGCCTTTTGGCTGAGATCAAGTGTAGAATAAATTATATATTAGAATCTGATTTTATAGCCACAAAATGAGAAGAATTATGTTGATCATATGGGCTGATTAAACAGTGGGGATTAAATGGGGTTACATGGAAAGATCTTGGTTTACGGCTGTCCTTTCATTTCTCCCAGGAGTTAAAATTTGCTGGAGGGCAGAGGTTAATCTAGCATTTAATGAATTCTAATTAGATGCTCAAATGAATGGAATATAGAAGGCTAAGTCACAACGTGTTGTTGCTGGGGCTCCAGTTTATACATGCCTGAGTTTGTTCCAAAGGAAACATAGGAAACCCCCTTTCTGTGTTCAGGAGATGACTGCAGACAAGTTCTCTCAGCAATACTCATCTCTTAGTTTTATTAGGGTACCTTCAAAATAAAGTCAATCAAAGCAATGACTTCCACGAGACCTAGTAAAGTTTAAGGCATAGCTTTAGGAATTCCAAAGGGGTCATCTCGATGAGTTTTTTTCTAAAGGACACAGGATCATTACTAGGGCTTATTATGAAGAAGTTTGAAGAAAATTAAAAATTACACTGGTGGGAAAAGGCCAAGAAAATAGTACTCCCCCCAGGATGATAGTGCTCCTGCTTGTTCTTGGAAGGTAGCAGGATTTGCCCTAGAAAAATGTCATGGGGAGGCTTCACCACATCCACCCTATAGCCTTGATATTACCTCTTAAGAGTTCTTTTTGCTTCCCAAACTCAAATACCACCTAACATGAACACAATTTGAGTCCCTCAAAGATGCCAAAATTGTGATTATTTTGTGGTGTAAATCAAAGAATGCAGAACTCTTTGAAGAGGGGTTAGAGAAAGGTAAAGGCTATGTACATACGTTTATAGACCTAGGTGGAGAATATGTTAAGAAACAAGAGCTTCAACTTTTGTAATTTTGTTTTATGAAAATCCCTGATTCTGTGGCAATACTTTTTCACTTACCTCATCTATGAATAAATGACTATAATTTAAGAAATATACCTATTTAAAATAAAAGAAAGTCATAGGAGTTTGAAGTGAGACTATTTAAAAATACTACACAAATTGAAGTAAATGGAGGTTAACATTCAACACCAAATAGGGAAATATAAAATCACCTAGAAGAATAGATGAATAGAAGTTGTTTTAAAGACTTACTGACTTGTATAGAGAGGTTTCCTGACAGAACTATTTAATTCAGAGATGTTGTGTTCTATTGTGTGTCTTCTTGGTCAAAAACATACTTATGTTGCCTCAACAATTCAGAACTGGATATCCACCCCACCCCCGTTTATAAGCCAAGCCATGTTTTTGCCAAAGATGTAAGTAAAGACTGTATATTTAAAGTTTAATATGTATTTCTAAGGAATTAAAAAAATGCTCTTGCAAGATATCACATTGTGGTTTTGTAGGTCACAATAAGAATGAGCATTACATATTTCAAATGAATTTTTACTATAAAATTTTTAATGCCTAAATAATAAAAACCGTGAATTTTTAAATGTTATCACCATATTATTTTCATGCAAACAAGGAATCTATTATACCTGAGAATAAAGATATGAACAAATTTGATCCAGTAATATTTTTATTTGAATGTATTTTCATTTGAGCTATTGAAAACCATTACTATCTTTTTAAAAAGACTGTATGTTATTTTGAGAATCTCATTATTGTCACTACACTAAGTATTTTCAAAATGATGAATAAAACATAAACAAATGGAATGAGAGATTATTACTCTGAATGATTCTAAATTGCAGCTGGCTCATTACTGTGATGAAGGCTTTCTTTATGCTTTGCACTTGAATTTTGCTGGGTCATCTACCTTTCTATATCTTGATTTACACATGCCTTTGGCTAGGCTAATTTTTAACCACTCTAAAGTGATTTAACTTTGGTGGACAAATTAATAAGCTTGGGTTTGTGAGAATGTGAGAAACAAATAAATAAGAAATAAATTCCTTAATAAATTGAAGTTGTTTCGATTAAAATGTAATAAAATCTACCAAGATCCATATTCTTCCATTTGTTCATTTTGAGAGCTAAAAATTCAGAGGGAGTGCTATATTCAAATTTCAATATAGAGCAAGTATAAGGGATCACTTTATGCATGCGTGTACCATGAGCCTCTGACTCTTTTAAATCTTAGATTTAAATATTTATAAATAAATGAGTTAAGGGATGAACAGTATGTCATTAAATATTTATTTTCTTGTGTTTATTGAGAATATTCACAGGGAAACATTCACCAATTCAACCATTTCTACAGATACAGTTCAGTGCCGTTGCTTACATTCTTCAGCTTGTGTAACCATTC